CACCACCACCAGCACCACCAGCACCAGCAGCACCACCAGCACCACCAGCACCACCAGCACCACCAGCACCACCAGCACCACCAGCACCACCAGCACCACCAGCACCACCAGCACCACCAGCACCACCAGAACCACCAGCAGCACCACCACCATCGGCGCCATCGCCACCATTGCCACCATCACTACCAACACCAGCCCCACTTCCGTCAACAGGAGCATGACAGCGGCGAATTCGGACCTCCGCAGAGCTAAAGCCCAAAGACCCAAAAATCTTCAAGCCAATAGGCCCTCCCGGATCCGTTGTTTCCAACCGCAGAAGGCTTTCCTGCGCAGCATGCACGGCTTTGACCATGTCGCTTGGGTACCTGAACAACAACAAGTGGCCTGGCAGCTCAAGCACCACTTGGTTTGGTTTATCGTTTTACCCGTGTAAACTGATAGAGCCGCGGTGCGGGCAGTGCCTGCAAGCGGGAGCTGGGCTCAGTCCTTCCGTGCCAAACTCGTTCTGGATGCTTTGGCCCGAATTGGAGTCATGGCTCAATGCCGCTCCTCGCTGCGAAAGCGCATTTAGCTCAAATCATTGCTTGTGGGCTGGTTAGGCTGAGTTGGCTGCCTTCCATCCTGGTGCTGCTGACTGGCCTAGGCGGGGCAGCTCTTAGCATCCTTTTAGATGTGTCGGCAGTTGATAGGTTGGACTTTGAGGGTGACCGTTCGGGTGCAGCTTTCAGTTCGTATTGGCTACACAACTTTCCTTTCGTGGGTGCTGGCAGCTCAAGTCCGGAGGCAGGGCTGCACGAGCGGGCTCTGCCCTTTCCAGAGCCAAATAGCAGAGCAATACAGCGTGCGATCCCACTCGTTGGGGCTCCGTTGCATATCTTGTGCAGGACTCCTTTCCTAAACAGAAGGCATCCATACCACGCATATGCGATGCCAGTCAACCCTCGAATCGGTGCGTGCCGGACAGCTCATGGCTGCGCACGTCTGCGGCCACGATGCAAAACGTTTGTTCGGGAGCTGCACGTGAACTCCCAGCACCTTGTGTTTGCGAGGCTGCATTGAAAGGCTTGCCCTGGCAGGTGTAGAGTGCACAGTGTTACTAAAGCATGGGCACCGAAAAGTGACCAATGTCATGTCTGTTGCAGGCAGTCTGCGACGAGAATCACGAAATCTCGTAGCCCGCTTGCCAATGCACTTTGTTGGACAACCCGAGATTCCGCGGACCGTCTTGGGCAAAAACAACCTTGTAATCACACGAGCGTCCGAACGTCAGCGACACACTTGGTCGGAAATGATTAACGACGAAAGCATGCAAAGGACTGCGCTGTTCGTCAAACTATCTTACCCATAAATAAGGAACAACAACCGCAAAAGGCTTCACTCGATTCGCAAGAGGTAGCCTGCGGCAGCCGGAGTGTTTCATAGTTTCTTTGCGTCGCCCTTGTTCACGGATAGGAATCCAATCATCGAAAACGGCCAATGTGTCGCAGGCATCCTGGCATCCTTGGTTGCTCCCTGGCCAGTTTGAGTGCGAGCTCCCGGGAACAATCAAGACTGCTGGAGGCTCCAATGTTGGGAGTTCACTCATAGTAGCAAAGATCGCTTTTCGGAACAAGTTCCCTGACTAATCAAAAATCGGGAAGGGTGGGACGGTGAGGACGCATCGGCCCCACAGCACGGGACAGCCGGATAGAGTTGCATGTCTCAGGCTCGCGAATGCCTGGACTTGAGCTTTACTGTGCTGGCAGTCAAGCAACATCAGCACGGAGAATGGAGTTTAAACAGAGCACTCCGAAGCCATACTGTGATGCTGCTAATATTGATGGAAGTGATGGTGGTGGTGGTGATGATGGTACTGAAGATACTAATGACAATGAGGGATGCTGTTGTTTTTATTGAAAATGATAGTGAGAGTGAAGGTGCTTGTGGTGCTGGTGCTGCAGCTCCTGTTGCCGCTTCTGCGGCTGATGATGATCATTGTGCGGATGATGATGCATGGTGAGAGACACCCGGCCCGAAAAGGAAACTGAGAGAGAGGACAGATGGTTGTGGTGACAGCGAGTGGCGGTTGTGGCAGTTATGGTGACGAGAATGTTGAAGGTACGCGTAGGTGCCGGTGGAAGAACGGCCTCCGGCTTTTTCTATCGTTGCCTAGGCGGGTCTCCGGCTGCGTGCGGCCCTGGCACTTCGGAAGCTCCTGCCGGACCTGCCAAGTGGCTATCTCGAGGCCAGAGCCTCGTGTACGACGCAGAGGGATGCTTCCCTCCCGAGATGTCCATGGTCGATACGGTCCATACCTGAAAGGGTTCAACATGTTGCAGCGTTCTGCGTCGCAGGTGAAAGTGTATCTTCTTTCAGAAACCGGTCATCCCTTCGATTCGTCGTCACGTCATGCTCACAAGCAGAAGCCTCGGTGCGACCCAGCGGAGGCAGCGTCAACTCGCAGGACCGCAATGTTGCAGGCCAGGAACATTTGTATCTGTTTCCCCCTCCTGTCCTTATCCAACCCAATGTCAGTGATCTGCGATTGCCAGGCGCTGTGCGATTTCGATTTCGGTTTTCTGTTGTGCGAAGGACGAGGATGCCGAGGATCGTAGCGTGCAAACCAAGTTCCTTGTTCAGGTCGTGCTGCGTGCTATTTGTTGGATGCGAACCACAGGGGGTAGTTGCGATGCTTCGTGGCTTCGTGGTCCCTGCAGAGTTTCAGCCGTAGGTGGTTAAGACTGTCTGAAAAGAATCTGGTGTGAGTAGACCTCATCCGAGTCCCAGCAGTATCGAGAACTGTTGGCATAGCCAGCTTGGGCGTGGGTGTCGGAATGTCTCCGTCGACGGCAACAGGGGCACGGAACATGTATTGCTTTGCTGCATATCTATTGCGTCTGCTGGCGATGTCATCTTCATGGTGCCAATTGCTACCGTAGTTCTCTTGCTCAAGCTGCTGTTTCTGTCGTCGTTGTTGTTTTGGCTGCGACAATGCCGACGATGCTCGCTGGACGCTAATGAGCCGCTAATGCTCATGTGCATGCTGATGGTGCCGTTCCTGTCGTCTCGGATTGCCCGTCGCAGCCGCAACTGGCATGCGCGGGCCGAGGCTATACAAACATACTCTTTCTATTCGCAACCACTGTGAACGTTGCCACAGTTGTGCTCAGTGTTGTTGTCGTTGTGGCCGTCACTCTTCAGAGTGCGAGTGCTACTGAACACGGTGCCTGTGTCCTTGATCAGGCCGAGCTATCTCCCGAGGCTGTGGAGCGCATCGCAGTGTGGACGGCGGAAGCGTTCCCTGCAGTTGAATGGCAAGCTTAGATGCTGGTGAGTAGCGATAGCAAAGCTGGTGTCAATGATGGTCGAGCTAATCAAGCAGCATTAAAGTTAACATTAAGCACATATATCTCGCAAAAGCTGAAGTAGTCAGTGGAATGGGAGTAGCACGAGCACTGAAAGCCTCGCAGCTCAAAGCAGTTAAGTGGGCAGGGACTCTAGCTAGCACAAGACGAGCAGGTATCGCAACAACCGCAGTCGCAACAACTTGAGTGACAACAACGGTATAGCATGTAGAAGAGAAAGACTACAGCCCGCGTCAGAACAATGCAAGCCTGGAGTGGCGATGACCTTGCAACCAGAACTCTCAGCGCAGCAAATTCCGCCCAGTACTGGTGACAAGACATTAGTCTGGTCAAGTGCCGCACGGCAATCAAGAGCAGTAGTGGCAAGTTTAGAAACACCAGTAACATTCGTGGCCGCAGCAGTCCTAGCATGAATCGTAATCGTTGTCATAGTTTATTCATTACGTTATTGGTGCTCGGTATAATGAAAAGGTTAGTCATCACGAGATGGCTGTCCTGCCGTTTGTAATTTTTCGGATTGACGAATCTTCTCGGCAGCTAATGGTCTTCTAACCAGACGCGATGTTCGTAGCAGGAGTACAGGTGCGAGTAGCACAAGTGTATTGTAAGAACACCGTGGCTGTTGCAAAGCATGCTGTTGTAATGGCAGGAACGCGAGTCGTGGTGGTGGGGTGGTGGGAGTCGTATCTGTAGCAACGAGTGCCTGTCGTAGCAGTACTGGGAGTAGCTTGTGGTAGTAGCAGTAGCACTGGCAGTAGCAGTAGGAGAATAGCAGGTGGTGGTGATGTCTAGCAGAAGCAGACGCAGAAGCAGCAGCAGCTGCTGCTGGCAGCAGCGGCAGCAGCAGCAGCAGAAGAAGAAGAAGAAGAATCAGTAGTAACAGTAGCCGTAGGAGTAGGAATAGTAGTAGCAGCACTAGTAGTAGTGGTAGTAGTAGTAGTAGTAGCAGTAGCAGTAGCAGTAGTAGCAGTAGTAGCAGCAGCAGTAGTAGTAGCAGTAGAAGTGGCAG